CCCAAACTTATCTCTTTTTTGTAGCAGGGATTAAACTCAGGGGCACTCAACCACCAAGCCACATCCCCAGCCCTTTTTTATATTTTACTAGAGACAAGGTCTTGCTGAGTTGCTCGGGGCCCTCGACAAGTTGCTGAAGCTATGTTCAATCTTGGAATCCACCTGCCTCAGCCTCTCGAGTCGCTGGGATTACAGGCATGCGACTACACCTGGCCTTAAACTCATTTCAGTGGGCTCATGTTGATAGTATCATTTGCATTGAGTCTGACAGAAGCAGAAATAGGGCAATGTATGGCATTATTATATATTGTTTAATGGGTTGAGGAGGCCTCTTGAAGGGGTCAGAGTCTCAGAGCTTCAGTAACATTAAGCATCATTGTTCCTTTTGAGTAGGAGACTAGTAATCTGAATATTTTTTTTCTTCTTTCCCTCTAGATGGTGTCCTACTCTTCTGTTCTCACAGCTATCAGTAAGGTATGAACATAACCACTCACCAGTCAGGTAGGGTACAGGGGCCAGAGAGCTATGATAGTGCCAGCAAGGCCCACCTCATATGACTTGTGAAGCTGGATGCTGCCCTTACCATCAGGAAAGGAGGTCCTTGGAAGTGGGGGCTAGCAAGTAGAAGCCATCTATCTATTTATTTATTTATTGTGGTGCTGGGGATTGAGCCAAGGGCCTTGTGCATGCTAGACAAGCACTCAACTGAGCTATATCCCCAGCTCTAGAAGCCAATTTTTAATATGAGAAGGCTGTTGAATCTGAAACCTGAGATTGGAGGAAAGAAAAGCAGGGGTCCTACTTGTGCCACCTGTTCTATGTGTGAGATCCAGGGGTTGGCTGGGGCATTCTTGAACCTCTCTATTGTTTTTTTCCATAGTTTGATGACTTTTCCCGAGACCTGTGTATTCAGGCTTTGCTGGATATCATGGACATGTTTTGTGACCGACTGAGGTAAGGGCTGGGTGACAAGATTCTCACTCAGCATTCTCTCAAGGTATAGGAGAAGCTCCTAGCATATAGTCTGAGATCAACTTTGTGGATTCCCACATTTTTTCTACCCACCTGCCCATCCCCATGTTTTCTATTTATTCCCTTAAGTTGAAATGCCTCTTTACTTGGAATAGCTCATTTGAAATCCTGTCTGGTGGAAGGCAGCCGAGTTCGGTGTCTTCCCTAGGACTTTGCTAGCTTTCCAACTCTCTTCCCTAGTAGGGGAGTGCCAGAGTTCTCTGGGGAACATTGGTGTGGGTCAGATTTCAGCCTCTGGATCAGAGACAGATTTCACATCCTTTCCTGGTAGCTGTCACGGCAAAGCAGAGGAGTGCATTGGGCTGTGCCGAGCCCTTCTCAGCGCCCTCCACTGGCTGCTGCGCTGCACCGCGGCCTCTGCAGAGCGGCTCCAGGAAGGAGTGGAAGCCGGCACTCCAGCCACTGGGGAGAAGCAGCTTGCCATGTGCCTGCAGCGCCTGGAGAATACCCTCAGCAGCACCAAGAATCGGGCCCTGCTGCACATCGCCAAACTAGAGGAGGCCTGTATGTCCCCTGATTACCTGTGCCACTATTCTTGTAGCTGTTCCTTTTAATTGAGAGGGGAGAGGCAGGATGCCATCCCACTTCTTTCCAGGAGGATCTGAAACCATCCCACTTCCTTTTTTTTCTCCCCATAAGCATTGCATACATCCCAGGGACTTGGGCAGGGTGGCACCCGAGCCAATCAACCAACAGGTATTTACTGAGCATTGTCTTCTGCCCAGCACTGTGCCAGGTGCTGTGGGAGGGGGGAGGGGGGCTCCCAAAGGAGCATGTGGCAGGGTCCCTGCCCTCAACAAGCTTACACACTAGTGGGAAGCAAGACTAGTACATCGTATGTGCAAAGAAAATTAGAGGACAAGACAACTATACCGTCTGTTCTTGTTTGTTTCCATATTACTCATCTTCTGGAAGCAGACAACTCTTGAATTTGAGTATGACCTGAAATGTCCCTTTAAACTCGGTGCCTATCAGGCCTGTGTACCATCCATCTCTTCACTCAAGTTCAGATGCTAAAATGTTGGAACTTTCCAGAGCCTGAGAACAGGAAGATCTGTGGGAGGGAAGCCTTCCATCATCCCTGAGGGGTCTTGAGGCCATAGTCTTGCTTAGACTGTGGTGGCTCAGGACCACCTAAGGAGCTTTTGTCTTCTGTTAAGTGCTAGAGTGGGTGACACCCAGTGTCCTGGGTTGGAGAGCTTAGTCTATTTATTACTTCTCTAAATATGTTTTATTGTCTGGGAATGCAAAGTCCAGAAAGAGAATCTGTGTCAAAATAGGCTATGCTGACAGTTTCTTGCCTACTTTGAACGTGTGATAAATGTTTATTGCTGGAAAGTGAATGAATATTTATTTTTAATGTATCTCAGGTCTTGTCTTCTCCCCCCCCACCCCCCTCCCACGCTACATGATAGTCAATGGGCTGGTTGGTGCCATTATTCATCATTGGACCTTCTGGAATTGTAACCAGGATAAATGACTTATTACTAAGTGATAAATATGCAGTGCAGGCATTTAGGAGAGAGATGGGTGGGTTAGACCAGTTGGGCAGGTTATTAAGGGAACAGAGCCATGAAGGATGTATAACTGAGGCATTTCAGAAGGGGGGAGCCCTCATCATCCAGCCCAGATGAAGGGTGGGTAGTGTGTAGGATTCCAGCTTGCCCAGAGTGGAGGTGATGGCCACTACAAGGCTTGCCTTTTGAATTGGCTGCTTCTGACCCAATTTGTGGTCACTTCCGTCTTTGTGCTGCTGAACTCTAGCCTCCCTCACTTCTCTCTCTCACTGCCTACATGTGCCTGCCAGTCAGTGAAGTCAGTTGTGTAGCCCCTGGAAGTCAGACCCTCGGGAATGGTTTTAAGGGGCTCTGGCCTTTGATGCTCACTCCCTTCTAGTGCATGCTGCCCTCATGGCCCAGACCTCCGTGTTGTCCTCAGGGAAAGCCTCCCTATGCGGTTTCCTGGGCCCAGGGAGTGCCACGATTGAGGAGATTGGGGCCAGGCTCTGTTTCTCTTTTGTTTTCCATCATGGCTCTGCATTTCTTTCTCTCTGCCAGCCTCCTGGACTGCCATTGAGCATTCGCTCTTGAAGCTTGGGGAGATCCTGGCCAATCTCAGCAACCCCCAGCTCCGGAGCCAGGCTGAACAGTGTGGCACACTTATTAGGAGGTACCCAGCTTCCAGGGTGAAGGTGGTGAAGGGAGAGAGAGGAAATGCCCTGGGGTGTCAAGGGAAGATGTGGTACCCAGTCTGTCCTCTCGCTCTTACCTTCAGTCCCCAACACTGCCCTGTGTCTGTTCTCCTCAGCATCCCCACTATGCTATCTGTGCACTCAGAGCAGCTGCACAAGACTGGCTTTCCCACTGTGCACGCGGTGGTCTTGCTCGAGGGCACCATGAACCTGACTGGTGAGACGCAGCCCCTGGTGGAGCAGCTGATGATGGTGAAGCGCATGCAGGTGGGAGGGGCCGAGTGGCTCTCCTTTCTCTAAGGGGGGCTGGCCATTTGGGGAAGGAGGGAGGATTCTTCTGGTACTTCTTGGGAGGAATAGGTTTTCTTTTGGTCCCTGATACTAAGTGGATGCTCTGATACTAAGTGGATGACAGTCCTGTCATTTAACATTAGGTCCCTAGTCCTAATGTTGACCCAACCTGGTCCCCAGAACCTGCAGAAGGATGAAGGGGTACAGGGCACTCTCTTATACTCCACCCTTGGATCTTCCTATAGCATATCCCCACCCCGCTTTTTGTCCTGGAGATCTGGAAAGCCTGCTTTGTGGGGCTTATTGAGTCTCCTGAGGGCACGGAGGAGCTCAAGTGGACGGCTTTCACCTACCTCAAGGTACCTGGGACATGCGAGCAACAGAGAGCCCGTCTAGGGATAGTTCTTAGGAGAAGCAGTGAAATGCTGGACATGTGCCTTCTGCTGGCATCAGACCCAGCCTGCTAAGTCCCCAGCACAAGTTCCAATTGATTATTTCCTCTGAAAGTCTTTTTAGCCCACTTGACAGGGCTCTGTTGTTTCCTGCCACAAGGTGCTGTTTAGTTTGTCATTGGTCATGTTGGTGCAGGGCAGCTGAGGGAGTCAGAGAAAGTGGTCCTGGTCCCCCTTGAAGCTTGGGTTCCACTTTTGCAAATGATATTTTTTTGTTTGTTGAATCAGCATAAGTGAGAGGTCACCAGGTCTTTTTGGGTGAGGGGAATCAGGTGTTTGGTTGCCCATGGACTTTAAGATTGGTCTTTAATAAGAATGCTTTCATTTCCAGGACAGTAATGTTCCTGTTACTGTGTCCAGGGCAGGGAATGGGGGGCCTTCAGTGGCGGGTGAAAGAGAAAAGAAATTGAAATTCCTGTTTTTCCTCCTCCTCACTCCCTAGATTCCACAGGTTTTGGTGAAGTTGAAGAAATACTGTCATGGGGACAAGGTGAGTTGGAGAAATGAGATGGCAGGATGGGAGCAGCTAAGGGTATTTCTTCCCTTGAGAAACAAGGGCAAGAAGAGGGTCCCGCAGACCCTGGCTGAGCAGCAGAGTGTGTGTGCCAGGAGGGAGGCTAGAATCCCATGGATGTGCTTGAGCACCTGGGAGCATCCTTGGATGCACTCCTGGGCTCCTGATAGGACACATCTCAGTTCGGACCCTCCACAGGCAAGGTTGCCCATGATGGTTGGGCAAGAGTGGACACGTGGGAGCAGTGATGCCTCCAACATTTCCCCACCCAGCTGCTGGGGCATAGTGGTGGGTGCAGCCTATTTGAGGCTCACCCAGCATGGTATCCTTGTGAGTCTACACCATAGGCTTCAGGAGGCATGGAGGACCCAAAATCCAGGGGAAGTTGCTGACTCTTTGCAGGACTTCACTGAGGATGTCAACTGTGCTTTTGAGTTCCTGCTGAAGCTCACACCCTTGCTGGACAAAGCTGACCAGCGCTGCAAGTATGAACTCCCCTACTTATCTCTATGCTACTAGAAGATGTCTGGGCCCTTCCCCTGCTCTTTATGTCAGAAGAATTTCAAGAGATCCTGTCTCCTTGTTGGTGACACAATGTTGTCAAGTATTCACAGTCATTCTGCCTGCCTTCAGGCACTCCAAATTGTCTTCATCCTGAAGGAGGGAGGAGACAGGGCAGGAACCCATTGTTCCCATTCCTCAAAAGCCCTAGCTCTGTGCCCACTTTCCTCATCCTGTTTTCCCTCACAGCTGTGACTGTACAAACTTCCTCCTCCAAGAATGTAACAAGCAGGGCCTTCTGTCTGAAGCTAATTTCGCCAACCTTGTAGCCAAGCGGTAAGTGCAAGTCCATTTGGGCTGCCTCAAGAGCCCTGTGACATCCCTCTGTCATGTCAGACTGCCTGCTGGTACCTTTCCCTCTTCTGTTTGAACTCTGGGTTGCAAGTGACTGGTACCATACCTTGTAACACAGGAAACCAGAGGGGAAAGGAGATGCTGACTTCAGACCGGAGTTTTACACTATTCTTTGCTGCTCTTTAACTCACCCTCTTTTGTGACCAAAGAAAAAATTCAAATTTTCAAAACAAATCTTAAATTAACTTTCAAAATAAATGTAATGACTCATGACAAATTGAAGTGATTCCAATATCGAACACCCTTTCATAAACTTCATCCCAACGCCAAAGTTTTTTTTTTTTTTCCCCTTTTGGTGGTGCTGAAAAGAGAACCCAGGACCTTGTGCATACAAGGCAAACACTGTACCACTAAGCTACATCCCAGCCCCCCAGAATTTCTGTATGCTTCCCACCACCTCTGTGCTTCTGCTTCTGGGGTTGGACTAGGGAGTAGGGAGTGTTTGAAGAATTTCTCTTGGTTCCTGTCCCCTTCTCTTGCCAACTGGTTATGGCCATAGCTCAGCAGATCGGGAACATGCACCCCAGCAAAAGTCATCAGAAAATGCCAACATCCAGCCTAATCCCGGGCTCATCCTCCGTGCAGAGCCTACTGTCACAAACATTCTCAAGGTGAGTGCATCCTTTCCTTGCCACCAGGGTCTTCCCTTTCTTTTTTTTTGTACCAGGGATTGAACTCAGAGGCACTCTAACACTGATCCACATCCCCAGCCCTATTTTTGTATTTTATTTAAAGACAGCGTCTCACTGAGTTGCTTAGTGCCTCACTTTTGCTGAGGCTGGCTTTGAACTCACTATCCTCCTGCCTCAGCCTCCTGAGCTGCTGGGATTACAGGCGTGTGCCACTGTGCCCAGCAGTCTTCTTTCTTCCTTCTGGTTTTCCTCTATGTCTAGATAAATAAACAGGGCTCATAGATCTCTCTCATCTGGATTCCAGTCATAGTTACTTTAGAAGCAGAGAAAGGGGGAAGGCAAGGGCAGCTACCACTATAAGCTTCACATGTAGGTGTTTCAGAGATGCCATCTCACAAGGACACAGTAGCCAGGTGTAGTGGTGCAGGCCTGGGATCCCAGTGACTTGGGAGGCTGAGGCAGTAGGATTGCAAGTTCAAGGCCAGTCTCAGCAACTTAGTAGGACCCACTCAAAATAAAAAAAATAGAAGGAAATGAGAAAGTAGCTCATTGGTAAAACAACTCTGGGTTCAATCTCTAGAACTGTGGGGGGACAAAGGACACAATAGCCAAGCTTCCTGTTCCCACTACCATCATGACAGTATGGATGAGAGGGGTGGATTATAGAGCAGTGTTTAGATTTTGGGAATGGTTTCCAGGTTGGAGGCAGAACGACAGATTAAATTGCAGAGGTGGTATGCTAGCTATTAGAGACGTGAAGAGAGGAAATATGCCTGGCTGTATCTGGGCGGGGTGGGGATCTTCAATGTTCTTCAGGACTTGACTTCCTCTCCTGTCCCCAGACGATGGATGCAGACCATTCCAAGTCCCCAGAGGGGCTGCTGGGGGTCCTGGGACACATGCTGTCCGGGAAGAGCCTGGACTTGTTGCTGGCTGCTGCTGCTGCCACCGGGAAGCTTAAATCCTTTGCCCGGAAATTCATCAAGTGAGAATGACTGAGCCCTTGACCTTGGAGGGGAGGACATTCTAAAGGGAGGAGGTGGCAGAGTAGGAGTTGGGCACCTGGGTCTGGGTCTCCCTTGAGATGCACAGGCTAGGCCAGAGCAATCCAGCCAGAGGTCTCGACAGAGGAGCCAGTTCTCTTGACTCGAAGAGGTCTTTTCCTTTCCCAGTTATTAATAAGGAACTTCATATTTCTGTTGCCTTTTTTAATTTTCCTGGAATTTGACATATAGAAGATTGTTCCATTCAATGAGCTATTCTCTAGGCCTAAAAAATCTTTTAATAATAGAAAAAAATTTTTTTCTGGTATAATGGTGTTCATTTTAAGCTTAGCCTGTAGTTTATATTCTAGTGACTGCCCCTCCAAGCCCTGCGGCCCTCAGTTCCTGGCTGTTGCTTAACTCTTACCCTGTCCATTTCTTCCACAGTTTGAATGAGTTTACCACCCATGGCAGTGGAGAGAGCAGTAAGTCAACTTTGCAAGACCTCAGTGGCAGTAGGGAGGATGCAGAGGGAGGGGCTGCCTTTGCTTCTTCTGGGGCAGCTGGGTTTCCTCCTGAGCCATGACTGACTAAAGCTTTGGGAGCCTTGAGTGAAGGAGATGCTGGGAATGGGATCTTCTAATGCCATCCTTTTGCTTTTCTCCCACCTGTTCCCTTTGTGATTTGTTTGTGTATTGGAGGATACACAAGGATTCCAAGGAAGGGATGATGTTCTAATTGAGACTCAAGAAAAGGATTCTGAGCCTCAGAGCTTTGAAGGAACCATGTGGTCCCTGACCTTCCTTAAGACAAATCCTGGGCTAGTGATGTGGCTCAGTGGGAGAGTGTGTGCCTAGCATGCACAAGACCCTGGGTTCGGTCCCTAGCTCCACTAAAAGGAAAAAAAAAAAAAAAGCAACAACAAAAAGACAAATTCTGTTCTCATGATCCAGACACAGGCCTTGGGTCTTCACCCTGGGCTGAGGGGCTGGCCTTCTTCTCCCTTCCACAGCCAAAACAGCCTCAGTTCGTGCCTTGCTCTTTGATATCTCCTTCCTCATGTTGTGCCATGTGGCCCAGACCTATGGCTCAGAGGTGAGTGAGAGGACTGCAGGTGGGGTTAGGGGATGACAAGTGGGCAGGGCAAAGATGAAGCAACCAATGAATAACTTCCCCTCACCCCGTAAGTCTCCCAAGTCATTATTTTGGGAGTTTTGTTTTTTTGTTTGCCATTGATCAGAATTTTTATTCTGATTCAACTAATTGATGATATAGCTTCTTTAACATTATTTTTGTTAAAATATGGAAAATACCTTTGTATTTTCTTGGGAAAATTCTTTGGACTCTTAAGACCTTAATTTATGTGTGAGGTAGAAGTCTTATTCTGGATTACATTGCATTTTCTTTTTTAAATTTTTATTGGTGCATTGTAATTATTCCTTGTTATGTGGGATTCATTGTTATGTATTCGTACATACACACAGCATAACAATATAATTGGTCAATTTGTTTCACCAAGCCAGTTGGTGTTGCTGCACTCAGAAATCAGGTGCTTATCCCTGGGGGAAGTCAATGGATGCCCCTAGTCATGCCTCACATACTTTAGTGCCACAGCCACACCAACCACTAGGTGGCAGCATAGGCCCTGTCTGCATCCCTTGAGACCAGTTTGCCCCTAGTTCTTCAGGTTGGGAAGGAAATAGCAGGGGGCAGGAAACAGAATTTCAATCCCAGGCTCATCCTCCTCACTTAACTAGGACCTCTCCTTTCACTCTTGCCCAGGTGATTCTGTCAGGGTCAAGCACAGGAGCAGAGGTACCCTTCTTTGAGACCTGGATGCAGACCTGCATGCCAGAGGAGGGCAAGATCCTGAACCCTGACCACCCCTGCTTCCGGCCTGACTCCACCAAAGTGGAATCCTTGGTGGCCCTGCTCAACAACTCCTCAGAGATGAAGCTGGTGTTAGTGATTTGGGTGCCTACTCTAAGGGCAGTGGTGGGATAGAGCCAAGACCCTTTCTCCTAAGCCCTTCCGTTCTCACCTGAGGTGATTTTTCTCCCACTGCCAACCCTTTGTAGGCAGATGAAGTGGCATGAAGCTTGTCTGAGCATTTCGGCTGCCATCTTAGAAATCCTCAATGCCTGGGAGAATGGAGTGCTGGCCTTCGAGTCCATCCAGGTAGCCCCATCTTTCTACCAGTTTTTCTTTTCCCTGAGACCTAGAGTCAGACATTGATAGCTTGTTTTATTTCCTAAGAACAAGAAGATCTTTAATCTGGAGTTTTTGCCATCAGTCTTACCTAGAATGGTAGTCTTAGCCACTTGCTCTCACTCAGGTGGCTCTGGGAAAGTCAGATTTGTGGTAGAAAGAGGTGTGGATTGTGGCCTAAGACTATACCTGCTGCACTCAGCTGCCCACTGAGGCTGGGGAAATGATGGCAGGGCAGGGGAGAGAGCGATTCCAGTCACCCTTTTCCCCTCCTCTTAGAAAATCACTGATAATATCAAGGGAAAGGTATGCAGTCTGGCCGTGTGTGCTGTGGCTTGGCTGGTGGCCCATGTCCGGATGCTGGGGCTCGACGAGCGTGAGAAGTCACTGCAGATGATCCGTCAGCTGGCAGGGCCACTGTATAGTGAAAACACCCTGCAGTTCTACAATGAGAGGTCAGTAAACTGTCCCTGCCCTTCTCATACCCTGCAG